GCACAGTCTTGGTGAGGATATGGAATCAGAAGGAAACAACAGGTATTAAAGATTCCTCTAATGGCAAGGCTGACTACAAAACCCACACTTAAGAAGCATTAAGGGCTTCTTAATTCCCTTCATTAAAAGAGAAAGGAGCTCTTTTTGAGTGAACAGCAAGATAACTACAAAACCCACACTTACAATAGCATGGGGCTTCTTAATTCCCTTCATTAAAAGAGAAAGGAGCTCTTTTTGAGTGAACAGCAAGATATCTACGGCAAGAACATGACAGGGAGTAAAGTTTTTATTCCTATCCCGCAATAGAAAAAAATAGCAATCAGCTTAAATTGCAGTAAGGGACATTACATATAATAATAAAGACAGATAAGGTATAAAAAAGACTTCCCAGGACTGAAAGTCCTTCCCTTAAAGTCTTTAGGAACAGATTACAGGTCTAACTGGATGAATCAACTCAGTTGCAGAGAGCTCTCTCCTGATCCCATATTATTCACTATTTTTCATTAACAGTTTGCATGACAAAAGAAAATGTGTATTTATGAAATACATGGAGAAAGCTTAAGCTGGGTGGTTCTCTGAGCATACTCAAATATAGAATAAAAACTCAACATATTCTTAAAAGACTGAGGAACTGATCTGAAAATAAATTTGACTTAGGCATAGGCAGCATAATAAAACATGTCATATTAATCTAACCTGAAGTTGCACAATTTCAAAGAAAAACGTTGAGATCCTGTCATCAGTAACACTGAGTCAAGCTAGCTCCTGGTAACTTCTGCTATAATAATAACAATTATGAAACAAGTGAATATGACTATTTACAAACAATTCATTTGAATTAAACTCCAAGCTGTCTGAACACATTAATACTGTTCAGAGCCTCCTAAAAATTTTAACACTTACTACTTCACATTTATGGCATGGCAGTGACAGAGATGCTGGTCAAGTCAGGCACCCACTCTGTTACACACTGTACAAATACAGAAAATGACAGTCTTTGCTACAAACAGCTCCTAGCAGAAAATCCCAGCTGTTCAAGACTGAAAGCCCACAGACAGGAAAACCTCAGCCCTTTCAGATATGCCTTCCCTTTACCACTGAGAACTGTGGAGTGGTGCTTTGCTCTGTTACAATAAATAGAAGCTGATATTAAAACTTAGCTTGACGAGGAAAGGGATAAAAGGCAAGCAGCTCTTTCCTAACAGCTGAGCAGTGTCTGTGCTCCACCAAGCAGGACCCAAAGCTCCCTGGGTTCCTTTCAGCCCGGTGTGACACCCAGCAGGGCCCTCTCCACACCACATCTGGATCTGGTTACACAACTCCAGCTCTTGCATCAGCCCAGCCCCTCCAGAGCAGCAGCCTCCCAGCCACTGCCTCTCCGTCAGCTACCCACAGAGACACAGAGCCCTAGGAGGAATAAATTGGGACCACATTAGCTGGTGACCCTCGCCCTGCAATGGCCCTGCCTGTCTGATGATAGAGGAAATCCCTCATCCAAACTGACAACCAATATGAAACAGGCAGCTGCACTTACTGGAGAGCCTGGTCAATGCTGAGCGCCTCATTAGGAAATGGGCTCTGTATTGAGGCACATTCCTGCAATTCAGAGCCTAGAAACTCTAAATTAAAACAACATTGATGCCATATCCTCTTTCCAAAATGCTTCTCTTCATCCTAACTTTAATGCACATACTTAGAGAAATTAAAGAACCAAATGTTGTTGGCAGGACTCCTTCCCTCTCCTGTGCAGCAGCACCCTTCCCATGTGAGTGACCAGGAATGTGACAGTGTTGGGAAAGGACAGAGGCCAAGGGATGACAGCAGAGCCCTCCAGATTCTGGATACCCTTCCCTTGATGAACCCATGTGTCTTCACTGATACTTTTAAATAAATAAAAATCATAGGCAATCGTTGGAACAAGTTTTTGTTTTGTGAGTGTTGTACCTTTCTACACTCTAAGAAAGGTCAGTTAACAGCAAGTCAGCCAATGGTAACCAGCACAAGAAAAGTCCAATCCAAATCCTATCCTTCACACTCACTATTGCAGCTTAGTCAGGAAACTGCTTTCCTAAAGCACCCAGTCAGAAGCTCTTCCCAGCCTGCAGAGATTCAGCCCTGCTGGTGCCACAGCACGCACAGCTCTTGCCACAAACCACCCCTTCCCACACGGCTCAGCATTTCTGTGTGCATCCTACGCACGTGGAAATGGGAATCTTTTACTCAGCTCTGTCTGACCACCAGCTGAAAGAGCTGCTTTCCCACCACAAAGCCTCAGCATTGCCCAGGAATGGGATGGACTGAAATACCAAATACTTATCAGGGAGCTCAACAGCTCTGAAACACGAATGACTGAGGTCAGGATCCCAGCTCTGAATCTGAAGGGTTGAATAAACTTTTTGGGTTTTTTGCTTTTCAAAGTCTTCCAGAATATCTTGATTTGTGGCATCACTGCCTTCCCTGAACAGCTGTGTTCAACACATCTGCAAGCCTGAAAGAGTTTTCATTTACAATTTCTACTGTGAATTCAAGAATCACAGCTGAACTTTTAGGAAGTTCCTGAAAGGTGACATGGTTCTGTGGAGCTGGCAAACACATGGACCCTTGTTCTCAAGATGCAGAAAAGGGTCCATGTGGAGAAGGCTTAAACTGAGGAAGCAGCATAGTTGTTTTGTTGGAAAATATGAGGCTGGTGACCTGGAACAACTGAAGAGGAGTGCAAGGGCCAAGTACACAGAATATTTGCAAAGCATGTGGAAAAATGAGATTTCCCTTGACTACATCAGTAATGAAGATCTTGTAAAATCTCACAGCCATCTCTTCTGACCCATCTCCTATTTCTGGACCTGTCAAAGTTGGTGTGATTTGAATTTATTCAGATAAAGTACATACCAAAACTACTGGCACTGAAAAAAAAAATAAATGGAATTTTAGATTCTCTGCAACTCATAGAGGTGGTGAGTAATACTCTCCTATAATAAGCAATGAGGAGCTTTTCTGTCAATGTGTTGAAAGCTGCACACAAAAAAACCCCAGATATAAGATGACACATCCTTAAAACACAGGATAGAATTTAGGGAGGATGTGTCAAATCTCTGTTTGGTCACATAAATATTTCTCGGGTATACTTTAAATAGAGTTTAGATTGTTTATATGTAAACATTCATTCCGCCTTGGGGATTGTGGATATACGAGAGAATACCTGTGATTTTATACTTATACTACACATAAAACTTTTATTTATACTACCTATAGCACAGATGTGTTGAGGAGATTACTCTCTGCTTTCTTCATTTTTTTTAAGATTAAAATCTTAAACAATCTTAAACAGTGACAAGTCTTTACAGCTGACTGCAGTTTTGGAACCAGAATCTTCAAAGGTATTTCAACAGTCCAAGGAATTGTTTGAAAAAGGACTATTGCTCCAACCTCAGATCATAATTGGTCTCAGTACATATCAAGAACAATTTCAAATTCATCTCCTTTTTAATTTTCATTTATTTGGGAAATTAATCATCCCAAAAAATATGCAGAAAAGCACCTAGAACTGGTATCCTTAAGGGAAACGACCATGTCTTTTTAGGAAGAGTTTATGATATTTTAAGACTTAGCAGCACTGAAAGATAACAATAGGAGCTACAATATTTTAAAAAATTATTTATCTGAAACCTAAGTCATTACAGATAGGCACAATGTTAATATGTTACTGAAGTATACACAAATTTTCAGCAGAAAAAAACTCACCACAAAATACTACAGGTTGTTCCAGCTACTAACAAAAGATAACCAGAAGTAAACTGGGAAGGGCAAGGGGCATGAAAGCATCTGAATTTAGGACAACAAGAACTAAGAACTGATGTTAATTTCTATTAGAACGAGTGGTACCATAAATTACAGCTGCTGCATCAACAATTACATGAACAAACCAAGTACTTGTCATTGCTGTGATCACTTCTGATTCCTGTTCTAGCAGATGACCTGGCTGAGCAGTGACAGTAATTACAACTGTTGCTCAAAAGTAAATAATACAGGACTGCAATCTGTACTTCTAGCTCATTCAGAAGCTGGTACATAAAACCCCCAAAAGTACTGTTCTTAAATGAAACCACAAATAATTACCATAAACAACATGGCCAATAACCTACTTTTGTTTGCTAAGGAAGAAGCACAGAAATCCCTTATCACAATGCTGACCTGGTTTTGTCTTACATTCCCTGACAGCAACAGAAATCATCTGGTTGACAGATGAAATGCTGCACATAAAATTTTATGAAGATGGAAATGGTGGCACTGAAGAAGTTGATACTGGATTGGCAGCAGCATATGTGCTATTAAGAGGAATGTGGCAAGGGAATAACTCAGGAAAACCCACCAGAAGTGCTGAAGTGAAAAATCTACACAGATTTTTTCAGATCCTAAATCTCTTATTGCCAGGGATGCCTTTTGCTTCCTCTGTGTTTTACTGGCAATGTACTTTTCACATTGCATTCAGTACTGGAACATAATGTTAAATGCTTTAACAGAAACACACTTTTTCTAATAGTTATGCCAACACAGAAAGATCTTAGAAATGGGAGAGGCCAGAAATAGGAAGCGACCAATCTTCTCACAAGCATGAGACCATCACAGGAGAGACTGTGTGGTGTAACATTCATATTGAGCTCTACAGCCTTTCAAATAGGCTTCTTCCCCAAAAAGGCAAATACAAGCCCCCAAGAGAAGTATCATTACTTTTCCCTGAATCTGTGACTATTTGTGCCTGTAGTGGACAATAACCAATGTCCATTTACAACTTCCTATACATCCTATCACACATTTATTACTCAGGCAGTGACACAAAGAAACTTCCCTCAATGCTGAGTCCAGTAGCTAGTTTGAAATTGTTATTTATGCACTTTCCATCCTAACATATCACAGGATTATACATTACTAATTCTGTGAATCAAGATAATAATCCCACACCAGATTATTAACCAGATTTTTCCTAGCCCTCCTGTACCCACCTGCTGCTTGAGCTGTTGCACAAGACGGTCCTTCTCTCGTTTCAGCGCAGCCACTTCATCCTGAGTCTTCTTCTTAGAGGATGAAAGCTCTAGCAGAGCAATATTGGCATCTTTTTCACTAATGGCAGCAAGAAGGGCTTCTTGTCTGAAAACAACCCAAATGAATTACATTATTATCCTGCAAAACTTAGAGGACTCCTCTACAAATATTTGAGCATATCATAAATGCTGTACCAGTGTGCAACTCTGAAAAGCAGTAATAAATATTTTTGTCAGGGCTACATGTCTGTTGGTGGAACAGGAAGTCAAGACACACACACCTCCCCGTAGACAACTGTGCTGATACCAAACTGTAGCTTATAGGGTAAGAAAAACACATTATGTTCTTCTTCTGCACTCACCTTCTCAGTTTTTAATAACTACCATTTACTATTACTTTGGCTGAACATTTTCCCATACTCCTTCCCTGTAGCAGAAAACTCTTACAAATAGAATGCAGAAACATTTTATACATACTGTGAAAAAGGAGACAAATAATCATCCTAACAGTTAAACAGCAGTTCTCAAAGGAAGCCAAAGGATTGATTATATTAGGGAAAGCAACCTTTTCCGTCCTTCCACCTTAATTCTCCTCTTTAGCTGGTGATGTGCAACAGGTTTTCAAAGAAAACCTTGGCCTTCTTGCCCAGTAGTGTTGGCTTGTCTCACCTCTCATCACCTTGCAAAGAAGGCAGAAAATGAGGTCCTAAGTGTGCAGTGGTGTGAAAGATGGCATCATGCAGGAGTGATGACGAAAGACAAAACAAATACAACACATTTCTTACCTACATTTCATCTAAAAATAAAGTTGCAAATGCACTTGAAGTTTTGCTGCAGCATTCAATATCAAGAAGTTTATTATCAGAATCCCAATTTAAGCCACTGTCTCAAAAAATGTGGAAAAAAACCACGTTTCAAGAGGAAAAGATGCGTTTCAAGAGACAAATTTGTTCACCATCTGACAGGACAGTGAACTACACAATGGACTTTCTGTGGGTAGAATTTCTCTCTGGGTTTACACAGGTGTTTCTACTACAGTCCAGGAGTTAGCTTGCTTTACATGAAATACCAGCATATCAAAAATCTCACAGATACAGTGTAGAGAGTACTTGGATCCTGCCTAGATCATATCTCCAAAATATTATTGCTTCCCTTTCAAAATGTAGTACCATAAAGTAAAGCAAATTTTTTTAGATACTTTAGGATAATCATAAAGTATTCTAAATACATTTGTGCTATGAAGAAATATAAATATTCTGGTGACTTAATGGAGGCAAAGAGTAGAAGAAAGGAAAAGGTGCACACAGATTCCCAGATGTAGTGTCAAGACTACGTTTTGGTAGGTGTGGGAACGATGGATAATTGGGTGTGTTATTATTGCCATTTTGTTTCTGCTGCTTTTGCTTTATGGAAAAGTATCCAGTTTTGGATGTCTGCCTGAAACATGAAAAATACCAATAGGGTGAAGTGACAGAACATGATCCATGACCTCTGCTTTTTTCCAGCTATCGGTATCCTGGGAAAGACAGGCTGGCTTGGAGCTCTGGTCATTTTCACTTTCTTTAGAGTAATCTGTTTTGATTATAAAGAAACACTTATTCTTTTAATAGTAAGCCCACAATCCTCGCTGATGATTCAGGACTAGAGCCAAGAATATCTCCGTAACTCTATCTGTGGAGCCATTACTCTGGTATGGAAATTGGAGGTGCCTCAAATAGTATGTAAGCCATACACCTCCTGCAATCAAATCCTTTGTTGCCCATCTCTCCTTCTTAAGTGAAAACCCCAAGGCCAGGAAAATGAGATATGGATAGCAGTCAATTTTTTTTTTTAATTTTTTTTCCCTGAAAAATCTTTGCCACCATGTCTTAGAAAAGAACTTCCTACTGGCCAAAACTTCAGTTCTGTGCTGTGAGATGAGGGTGCTGGTCAAGAGGCAGGGTGAAAGCCACTGTGGCTTTCTGACTGTTTTCTGGAACTGAAACAGAGTGAAGTTTGAACAAAAGTAAGAAAAATACTCTGTGATAAGTGCATTGTAGCTGCATTTTTTTACTTTAGCAAGCTAAATGTAAATTGCTGCATGTGGGAGAAGTGCAGTTGTCACTGTCAGCTCTGCTGGAAGGGACATGTCTGTAGTGGCAAGCTTTCAGTGGAGCTTGCAACTGCCAAATGATTCCAAGACAATAAAAAGGGCATACTACCAAGCAAAAGACAAGGTTTCTGATTGAAGAGCACTATAAAAGTGATTTATTTCCCTTCCTGAGAGCTTTATCCCCAGGGAGGGCAGAGGAACTTGCTGTGAGACAGGTGATGTGGCAAGAAGGAGAAAATGGGCTGCTGTGTGCATGGTGGTGTCAGCACATGAACAAACCTATCCATCAGGAGTGCTGCAGTCAGTCCTGGAGGCTCAGGCACTGCCACAGGCTTGGCTTCTTCAGCAAAATGCTTCTCCTCAGTTCACAACATTGGAGGTCCTGAAAAGTTCTCATAAGCAGGCAAAACATGCTGCACAACCCAAGGATGCTGATCTTTTCAAATGCTGGCTAGGGCCAGAGTCACTGAGCAGACAAAGTTCACTTAAGTTAATTCAGGTATTTCAGATGCTGGTACTGGTGTGGCTGTGCCAACATCAACTCACCAGGGGCAAACTGCCTATTTATCTCTCCTCTGCAGCAGGTCCTGCAGCCTGAACTGAGCTGCACACGCCTCACAAGACGAAAGCAGACTGTAACAGACTGAATACTACCAAAGGAAACGTGAAATGGCAACAGTGTAGAAAAATCTACTGAAAACAGGTTCCAGTTTTACTCCAAATTGGACAAAAAAAAAAAAAAAGGAGATTAGGTTTTTCCTTCTATTTACACTGAAGCCTTTCACTGAATGTAGATCATGATCAATACAGACTGGAATGGTATTAAGACCTGTAGGTTTAATTCTTAAGAGACAGTGGTAGATATAACCTCAAGATCAATATCAACATTATTTACCTTGTTTGCAGTCTTGAAAAAATAATGCAAAGAAAGATGGGCTTGCCTTTTTAAAATAGATGCCCACAGAATAGTTACAGGCCAGTAGAGCAGAGAGATTTGACAACAAACACAAAGGATACTGTGCAAATGCATGTCTCCTTCAACTCTTGAATAGAAATGTCTGATTTGGGGAAGATAACTGGGCAATAGTGTACTATTACACTATTACTAATTACTAATACTAATAGAATCAAGATGTCTTTAAACGGGTTTCTATGGCACTAGGTTTCAGAAGACTACATAATTCCTTCACAGCCCTTTCCCAGTAAAAGAGAAGAATCCTTTTGGTAAAACACAAGAGGAGGTGAACTTTAAAAAGCAGTTTTGTACTTTGCAGTACTGTTCCCAGGGTCATAGCACTGGAATATTTATCAGTTGTATAATTAGAAAGAATAACAGGCTGCAAACAGTGCTGCATTAATGATGCTTCAAAACATGAAACTATACATATTCATTAAAAGAATATGCCTACATATGTCAGGGAGAACACTGATTCTATATAGAAATGTTATAAATATATTCTATAAAATTTTATTTCAAATTATGAAATTTCTTCCTATCTGGAGTATTTCTGAAAGTGTGTAAGAGATAATATGAAAGCAATATTGATATCAGCAGCAGCTTTGATTTTAATGTCATGGAAGAACTGGGATTATTCCATCAGCCTAGTTGCATTACAGGATCAAATCTGTTTTCCTTCTGACTAGGCATTAAACTAAAGCATTTACAAGAATAACACAAATTTGAAGAGTCCAGGTAGCCACAAGCCCATAGCAATCCAGTCAGTTCCTTCAACAGAGACTGTTGCACTTCCATGAGCAATGATTAAGCTGCCAGCGTTTTCATCCTTGCATATTAAGATGAGCTGTAATTATGGCTGTTGTGCCTTTAGTACACAAGGAAAGATCCTCCTGTTTCATGAGCTGTTAACTCATGGTAAGGGCATCAATCACTAAGAACCACAGAGGTGCCACTTATACAAGACTTGTTTTGGTTGTCTGATTTTTGTCCACTGCATTTACTCCAAATGTACAGAAAATTCTGCTAAAAGCTTTTAACGCTTTCCTATCAGAGACATTTGTAAGACTTACCCTGGTGAATCACCATCACAATAAGAACTGTATTATTTGCATATGAATTAAAAACCCTCCCAAGATGCGACAACAACAGAAAGAACTGCAGGCAGAGAAATTGGGGTCCCGTACTGTAGTGTTATGAGAGCTAGACAGACAGGCAGCAGCCAAGAACATAAAAGCTGATGTGACAACAACAGAAAGAACTCGAAGGCAGAGAAATTTGGGTCCAGTATTGGTAGTGTTATGAGAGCTAGACAGACAGGCAGCAGCCAAGAACATAAAAGCATTGGGATATGGCATTCAGTAATTTCATGAGTTTAGCAGAATGACAGGGTTTGGGTGGGTCACACTCAATAAACTCTTAAAAAGTAATTAGGAGTACAACACACCAAACCACTGATTCAATGGGCCAGATGCCCTGGCTCCATCGTCCTCTTCATCATAAACTGTGTCTGCCACTAGAGCAGTAGTTCTGAACTCCACATTCTTTCCTACTTTTTTTTTTGCTGGTTTTTCAACATCTTCAGAAAATTAAGAAACTCTGACTTCCAGTACTTCACAGGGAGGAGACAGTCCTTGCAGAGCACTGGGTATCGAGATTTAGTTCTTAAAAGTAACCTTGAAAAAGGAATTATACCAGTGAATGACATTTCATGATGCTAACAGATGAATAACTCAATTAATATGCAAGCTGCCAAATTCTGCACTGGCTGTAATTTCTGCAGCATTTAAGATGCAGCTCGAAGTATCCCAAAGTGAGCAAACTTTTATCCAAAAGAAACAGTAGCTACCACTTACTGCAAGAGAGTGGGAAAAAAATTTAACTTGGCAATAAGTACTACCTGCTTTTTTTAATTACAGCTGGGAATAATCAAACCTCAGGTTGAAAATTAATTTCCAAAGCACGGCCTTAAATCTTCAGTCAAAAGGGATAATACTACCCTCGTTCCATTCCAGTACTTGTTTCCTGAATCAGCACATCACCTTTGCCTGGCCTGGCT